GAAGCATCGGCAGCGTTGCTGTCGCGATCGGCTGGGAGAAGTGTCGCAAATGAAAAAAACGACACTTTCTAGTGTAGTTAGACAGTTTCTAGGCACCGGAAAAAGGCCTTATATTTCTCGATAATTCTATATCTAGAGATCAAAGAAATAAACCAATTTTGATAGTCGTTGGAAATATTTGAAAACTTTTCTTCGCAAACATACGGTGCCTTAGTTCATTTCTTTGATTTTGCATAATATCAATAGTGTGTATATATAAATTTTGAACATTAATGTGGCTTTTATATCAATAAATTTTATGAATTTGAAGAGAAATCATGTAAAGTGAATGAAGTTAAATATACATGCTCTTATAAAGCCGATTAAAAAAGCGTGTTATTACAGTCTGCAAATACTTAGCGAGAATGAAAAACAAGATAATTTTACGAAAACTCCACCTTTGCAACTCTAAAATGTGCTGACCAATTTCTGTTTTTTATTCCCCTTGACACAGATAGACAGAATGAGAGTGAAAAAGAGTAAATGAGTGAGAGAGAGAGAGAAAAAAAGAGAAGAATGGGGAATGGGGGGAAAATAAACAAGAGGGAAATGGGGAGGTGGAAGAAAAGCGAGAGAGAGAGAGAGCGAGAGAGAGAGAGAGAGAGAGAGAGAGAGAGAGCATGAGAAAAGGGTTCACTGGACAAGAATTGAGCGGTCATTCATGGTGTTATGTGTACTGATAGTTTGTATCCTTATTTGCCCTACGCCTGGCAGTGCATTCAGCGGCCAATCAACATTAAATACAATAAATGACATAGTCAAACTCCAAATTTATTGGACTTTCATTTCTACAAAATATAGGTGATGATAATGCCAATCTCCTCTGTATTACTGTTTGAAAACTTGTGTATCAAATACGTGTGTTTTTGCTTTATGTAATTTGAACTGGAAAACGCCAGGATGTTTTTGAAAATACACCATCCCTTAACACAATATCTTGTTCATTGTTGTCGTGAGGATGCTGGAGATCAACCATACCTTGGACCTCAGCCCTCGCCTCAGCTCATTTTGCATAGTCCCCCCCCCCCACTTTGCTTTTCCTTCTCTTCATCCCGTTCTTGTCAACTTCGTAAAGCCAGGCTCACCATGGCCAATAATGAAGATTGTTTATCCTTATTAGGGGCATAAAGGCTTGCCCCTTCATCAACTAGCCTATCTAAAATTGATTACTCTCGTTTCCCGACCCCTGCCTTTACTTTAACCACGGTTCTGACCACTGATACTAGTACCCCCCTCTTCGAAGTTTGCTGACAAGTCTATCCATTCCGAATTACCCAACCAGACCATTATTCAACCTTTAGAATGCACCCCTTCCTCTCTCCCAAGATCCTGAACTTCATATTTACAGCACAGTCGTCATTGTTTATCCTTTCCCCCTTTATTACTACTCTCCATCTTTATTCTCCTTCTCTCCACAGTTTTACCTCACTCCACACCACCTCATCTTCCTCCCGCAGTCGTCCTTCTAGTGCTTTCACCTCTACAAACCTTCTGAGTACTCTCTTTGGCCCAGCAAAGTCAGATCAATTCTTTGTGACACTCCCTACACCCCCTTACTCTAGCAATATTCTTCTCTTCCAGCAAGGTCTCCAAAAACAAGTAGAGAATTTTCGTAATTTACGGTGAGTTTATCAATTTATTATTACAGGATTCTGATTTTACCATATTTGGTAAATATGATATATAACCTGTATGAAATTAATGAAGTTTCAATTTCTATGACTTATGTTCTATTTTAAAGCACAAGTTAATGATACAGAATGTTATGAAAAACTGTGATTCGGGAGAAATATTGGAACAAGGTCTATCTAAGACCTTGTATTGGACACTATCAAAGGAAGGGGAAACTATTATTTTATGTCTAACATCTCAAAACTCTCTAATACAATAAAGCCATAATATTCGACACCCTTCTGTCCACATCCTAAAGTGTGAGAACCGCAATAAAAGGATGAAAGACTCTTTGTCAGACCTTAACGGTTTTTGTACTCCGTTCGCTATTTACTCTTTACCCTTTTCACCGCTACACTAAGCAACAGCGCTCTACAGTATTTGATATCTAACATTTTGTTCTAATCGTCAACTCATTTTTAAACTTTTGGCCGCAACACTTTATCTTAGTGTTTTATGGCCTTTCCTTACCTAGGGCTTCACCCCCCCCCCCTCCCCAAGTCTCGCCCTATTGCTATATTTAGAATATGCTGCTGATCTGTAGCAGCATTTCTGTCTTATTCTAAACATTAAAGAAAACGGATATAAACAATAAAACTTATCTATACACCATCATAAACGGATTAATATTAGATTACAGTTACAGTGCATAGAGTTAGAGTCTGAGGATTATAGGATTCCCTGCATTACTCTCTTGTTCATTGCACTGCACAAAACAATATACAATAAATACATCATTGTGCCAATCATGTAACAACACTCAATAAAATGCACCAGCATCTCTTTATAGAAAATATGTTAGATGTATAACCTAAGAAAATGCGACATTGAATATCTAAAGTATACAAATATTCATAGTGAGTATGTTGTAAAGTTTAAAGTTACTCTATGGGACCATGTATTTGGTCATGCCAGCCGGAACACCCAGCTGAAGTGACACTGGACAAAATTTCCACTGTGATGATGTTCGCTCTGCTGCATCATACCAGGATGGTTTCAGTAATTTTTGTTTATTTTATGTGGACTTCGGAAATATTTCAGTATTGCTTTAAGTAATTTTCATTTGCATCAAATCATCTGTTGTCATAAAGAATAACAAAAAAAAAAACAGCCTACGGAAAAATAATCCGTAGTGACATCACCATCCGTCGGTCATCCTTTGTTTCCGTTTAGCTGACAAATTTCCGTAGAATTCCAGCCCTCGAAAGAGCAAGATTTACTCCCTTTATACCTTGTCCCCCCTTGCCGGCACTGTCAGCTGAACGAAAAAAGAGGAGAGCGGAAGAAATTTGCCACATGCAATTGTAGGGGAAGTCCCCCTGTAGGACATCACCTACCATCCTGAATCTAAATGGTTTAACCTTTTTCATAACTTTCACTTTAAATACATTTTGAACTGTAACCTATCAGGGAAGGTACTACATCTTGCCCAAGGGTGACTTGGACGCTTCACTGCCCTATACATGCTCTGAGAGACACCACTGCTACCAAAAATAAAGAAACATGAATAATATATCTAAACTTTAATACTGAGGTGACAAAGAGACATATATACAGAGTTATGGATATATAAAAGGCAGAGACAAAGAGACTTAAGATCAATGGTAAATACTGGAAAACACCGCACTTCCCATTCCTATGTTGATGTTGCCGTGGGGGGGGGGGGAGGGTTAGGAGCCGTGGACTGAGGCCCAATGTAGGGGATGACCACCCCTGCCTTGGACCTCAGCCCTCACCTCAACTAATTTCGCATGGTCTTTCTTCTCCTCTCCTTTTCCTTCTCATCCCCCCCTTCTGTCCACATCCTAAAGTGTGAGAGCCGTGCTGAAAGTATGAAAGACTAGCTTTGTCGGACCTGCTGGACCTTTGGCCATTTCCCCTTTACCCTTTTCAATGCCATACGAACCAATAGCGTTCTATAACCTTTGATATCTAACATATTTTGTCTTAATTGTTAACTGATATGTAACCCTTTTGTCACAATACTATTTCATAATTCTGTATGACCTTTTCTCACCCTATTGCTATGTCTTGCATATGCCGATAATGACCTTAGATGTTGACGCAGCAGCAAATTTTCAATAATAAATTAAGGAGATACTGTAAAAAAAAAAAAAAAGTTAATATATAAAACAATTAGAAGCTTTCAGAGAGCGCATATCTCCCCCAAGCAATAGGGTCACTGATGCAATAAAAAAAAATCCTGGACCCGCATCATGCCCTTATGATTTATATTTTCATATAAATCTTACATTTTTATTCCTTTGCATGTTTCTAGATTTATATATTATAAATGAAGTATATGTCTTTTATCTAAATAGGTAATTATCCTCATTATCACCGATCTTGTCATTTTCTTGCAATTGCATCATGTTTTTTCAAAGGCATCAGAGTGTAAGATGTTTTGTAAAATGACCACCCAAAAACAGTTTCTGAATGCTTGAGAAGCAAAGTCACATTTAATTTTGTTACCGCTAATAATAAACCGATTCGTTTTCTCTCTTGCTTCTCTTTTTGTTGGGGTAACTTTACCATGCACACTGATTGTCTTAAAATACCGGACACGCCTACAGGAAGTTGTAAAGTAGTACATAATTCATATGCTCCCACAAGGCCGAATTATTGTTTTATTATTTCAGGAAACACATCTCTTTCCATAATTGCCGTATATATGACTAGTTGGAAACCGACCAGCTGATTCCTAGCAACGTGTATTTGTTTACAAACAAGAGGTCCACTGTGGGTGACTCAGGAATTTTGTCTCGGGTTAGTATTCTAGTAAAATCCCTCAAGAAAAGACTTACGAGGATATATAGGTAACTGTAGGGACACCGGCCACCATTTCATTAGTATATAAGACATGATTGATATCTTAGAGGGTGTGTGCCTTATCCAGAATAGGAAGGGGCAAATAAGAAAACTTTTCCTTGGGATTCGCACTTTTAAGCAAAGGCAAACAGCACGTGTTTTCTGTTAAGATTAAGCTTGTAAACCTTCTTAGCAAATAATTGCCATATAAGGAACATTTAACATTTAATAGTTATCTTTGTTTTCGTGATAGTTGAAATATATACAGGTATAGTATCGAAATCTATCCGTTTTCCAAAATGCCTGTTACAATACAAGTGTAATGATGGATAATTTGTTTTTACCTGTATGATAATAATACGCACCAAAAAGAATACCATAATAATACACAAACAGTCATATATATATATATATATATATATATTATATATATATATATATATATATATATATATATATATATATATATATATATATATATA